TGAAAATATATTCTTACCAAAAATGTTGTCTGCATGTTTATACATAAAATATCTTCCCTGCCAGCTCTCTTCTTTTGTCATATGAAGTATTTATGTTCATTAACTTTGAATCTAATTTTGGTGTCTGGAAGCACTAAGGGAGTACAAGTTCTTTTTTTATTATTTTTTCCTTAGGAACAAAAACATGAAATTTCATATTGTATTAGGGCAATAGGGTCAGTGCTTCTTGTTATAGCCCCTTCCAGTTCCTCAAGGTTTTTGCTATTGAACAGACCTTGGCATCTGCAGTGTGTATATGTATGTCAAAGAGAGTTCATGCTTATTTCATTGGCTTTTGACTGGTGTAAAATGACCCGCAGGCCCTTCTCTTATCACTAAGTGTAAATCTCTTGTCAAAACTAGTGAGGTCTGGAAAACTCATACTAGTTTTTCACCGGCATTGCAGAAATAGAGTTCTCTGCTTTGAATCCATTATTGAACCCTGCTTACATTAAGATTTTTAGCTTCCATTTACCGTGTAGTGAAGTCATTACATTTTTTTGAAAAACAATTTTTTCTAATGCTAACTCCATGGGTAGTGTCAGCATTTCCTTGGGGGCCAAGTCCCTCAAAAAAGTTAAAATTAAATATAATAATCATAGAAAACTAGGGTTGGAAGGGACCTCAAGGAGTCGTCTAGTCCAACCCCCTGCTCCAAGCAGGACCATCCCCAAATAGATCATCCCACCCAAGGCTTTGTCTAGCCAGGTCTTAAACTCCAAGGGTGGAGAATCCAGCACCTCTCGGGTAACCTGTTCCAGTGCTTTACTACCCTCCTAGTGAGAGAGTTCTTCCTAATATCTAACCTAAACTTCCCTTGCTACAACTTGAGACCTTTGCTCCTTTTTCTGTCATCTGCCACCACTGAAACAGTCTAGCTCCGTCCTCTTTGGAACCACCCTTCAGGTAGTTGAAGGCGGCTATTAAATCCCCTCTTGGTCTTTTCTTCTCTTCTCTAGGCTAAAGAAGCCCTGTTCCCTTAACCTGTCCTTTTAAGTCATGTCCCCCAGCCTCCTCACTATTTTTGTTGCCCTCTGCTGGACTCTCCAATTTCTCCACATCCTTTCTATAGTGGGGGGCCCAAAACTGGACACATTACTCCAGATGTGGCATCACCAATGCTGAATACCAGTGCAAAGCTAACTGCACTTTATCATGCATCAGCAGATGCATGACAAACAGAACCAAGGAGGTGATACTTCCCCTCTATCGGGTGCTGGTCAGACTGCAGTTGGAGTACTGCGTCCAGTTTTGGGCGCCACACTTCAAGAGGGATGTGGATAACCTGGGGAGGGTCCAGAGAAGGGCCATTCATATGGTTAAGGGCTTGCAGGCCAAGCCCTACGAGGAGAGACTAGGGTACCTGGACCTCTTCAGCCTCTGCAAGAGAAGGTTGAGAGGCGACCTTCTGGCTGCCTATAAATTCATCATGGGGGCGCAGAAGGGAATTGGTGAGGCTCTACTCACCAAGGTGCCCCCGGGGGTTACAAGAAATAATGGCCATAAGCTAGCAGAGAGCAGATTTAGACTGGACATTAGGAGGAACTTCTTCACAGAGTGGCCAAGGTCTGGAACAGGCTCCCAAGGGAGGTGGTGCTCTCCCCTACCCTGGGGGTCTTCAAGAGGAGGTTAGATAGGCATCTAGCTGGGGTCATCTAAACCCAGCACTTTCCTGCCTATGCAGGGGGTTGGACTCGATGATCTGTTGAGGTCCCTTCCGACCCTAACATCTACGAATAGAGTGGAATAATCACTTCCCTTGATCTGCTGCCAACACACCTACCAATGTAGCCCAGTATGCTGTTAGTCTTCTTGGAAATAAGAGCACACTGCTGGCTCATATTCAGTTTATTGTCCACTGTAACCCCCAGGTCCTTTTTCAATGTTTTATTTCTTTTGGTTTTTCAGATTTAAACTTCTTTATTAACAATTGGTTAATTATTCTGATTATTTTAAGCCCAACTTTTTAACTATAAAGCAGTTGCCTTTTGCCTATTGATCTCATACCCCTCAATGCTGTTTATAATAAATGGAGGCATGTTATCCTTTTCCTTGGAGGGGTAGTGGGACAGATTTTGTTGGATCCGTTAGAATAGTTTGCTCGCTTGATTCCCTGGACTTCTTGTTCATTAGGAAGATGTCCATCCCTACTAGTGGGACTGCCTGACAGGTCTGTGGGACTTGCCCTCGGTTCTTTTTGGTACGTTGGACCCAGTGGCAGACTTGATTTTATTTTCTGGCACTGGTTATATTATACAGCCCCTAAACATAGGCAATGTATTAATGTTTTAAATGACAATGAATGAAAACAGGCTTAATATTGGCCTGCTCTTCCTGCAAGATTTTGATGTTAACATGGGAACCAGCCATGACAATAAGGCCTCCTCCAGATCTTATTTTTTGTAGTGCTGCAAAATTTTTTCCAGGTGTCAGGACCTTTTAAAGAGAGCACAGGAGGCCTGGCATGAGACCCAAGACTGGGGACCAGCTCAGGACCGAGTCTACCTGCAAGATGCCTGGAGGTGGCAATATCTGACTGGGGGAGGTTGTCCACTGGTCAGCCTGTCAACTCTATAGTTCTGTTCCAGTTGCCACCTGGTAGTTTGCAGTCTTTCTCTTGATGCAAGAGCTGACCAAGGGGTTTCTTCCTTCCAGTGAGCCCCTGCCACTGCTGTGACACCCCTGTTCCCATTGCTGTGGCAATAGAAGGCTGCTTATACTCCCCCACAAAAGCTTGCTGTGTGCTGCTGTCCTTCCATCCCTCTGTCTTAGAGTTAGCAGGGGAGAGTAGAGAAGTACTGTGGATTAGTAGAAGGTCTAAGTTATATGCCATACATTCAGTTTAGCTAGCAATATACACGTACCACAAGTTCCATGATCAGTGAATAACTTCTTTGCAGCAGGTTTGCCATTTTTGTCATGTGATAAATTTCTTGAATAGCTGGCATGTTACTATTTAGCATGCAAAACTCATGTGAACCTTGTGATATGATGAATGTAATGTTGCCGGGGCCTAATTCTCAACACTGGGAAAATTGACAAATGACAATGTACATTTCCAGTTTCTAAATTTGTGCACGGATGTAGTCTACTAGGTAATTTAACTAAGGTTACATAGGATATTATATAGGATACTGTAAAAAAAAAAACAAAAAAACAAAAAAACAAAACAAAAAACCCCCCAACCAACACAGTTAGGGATCTAGAAGGAATTGATGCTCCAAAGGAAGGTAAGCAGTTGAGAATCGGGAGGTAAGCTGCTTTCTCTTGGTAAGGAGCAAGTATTGCACTCTCTAGTTCTTGGATTATCATAATCAGTCCTGTCAGAATCACTGGCAAAATAAACTAACCTGTGCTGAATCAAAAGTTATCAATTTAGTGTTTTGGTTTTGTAATAATTTTTAAGTATTCTGAAAACATGTTTTAGTGTAAGAAACCTACCTGCAATATTGCATCATTTCACTTGTGATTATTGGACTAAACTGAGCAACTTTAGACAACTTCGCTATGGTTGTTCTGTCCTACCATCATGCAGGATATAAGTTAAGCAAGATGCAATGGCAGCTGTATATCACTTTATACTTCTTGGACTGAGAGCATCTCCCATTGAGTTTGGGGTTTTGGGGTGTGGAGGTGTTTTCTTTTGTTAAAGAAAGTTGACAGTAAATATCTGCAATTAATACAGTGCAGTTTGGCTCAGTGTATTTCTAGTTTATTTCATGGTTATATAACTTCATCAGATTGTTAGAAAACATTTACGACTCCCAGAGATCTGGGACTGTTCAGCCTGGGGAAGAGAAGACTGAGGGGGGACTTGGTGGCCATCTGTAAGTATGTAAGGGGTGAATATCAGGAGCTGGGAGAAAAACTTTTCACTAGGGCACCCCAGGGGAAGACAAGGAGCAAAGGCCATAAACTGTTAGAGGATGGTTTCACATAAGGAAGAACTTCTTTCCAGTAAGGGTGACCAGAATCTGCAACAGACTGCCCAAGGAAGTGGTGGAATCCCTAACCTTGGAAGTCTTCAAGAGGAGAGTCTTCAGGGGTGGACCTGAAGATCTGTTTAGGTCCCTTCCAACCCTAAGCACTATGATACTATGAGATTGGACAGACTCCTTGCTGAGATTATTTGATCTCAGCGGTATTCTTGCCTGGAGCAGGAGGGTTGGACTCGATCTTTCGAGGTCCCTTCCAGGCCTTAATTTCTATGATTTCTACGATAATAAAATAAGGACTCCATAGCTTGGTTTAGAATACTTTTCTCCGACTTCCTTTGTGAATTTCAAGAGACCACTTACTGTTTATCTGATTGTACATTCTCTTTGTATTTTTGTTAGTGTAAAAGTAAGCTTTATGGTTTAATAATATCGATACTATTTTTGGGTACACCAAAGAGCTGAACTGTCAGTATAATCTGTAAGTAGGATTTTCTTCTTGGTCTATCACTAACTTGTGGTTTACAATCTTTCATAGTTCGTAGTTTCATAGTTTACCCGTCTCTTAAATGTGAATGGTAATATTTAACCTATTTCAAAGAGGTTTTGTATCTGAAGGGGCAAGTTTTTCAAAAGTGACTAGTATTTTTGGGTGCTCCATTTAAGACTTCCTCCCTACTTTTCTGATGGAAGATGTTTGACACTTTCTGAAAATGAGACCATTTTAAAGTGTCAGGTTGGGCACTAAAATCACCACTTTTGAAAAAACTTGGTCTGACATACTGATATTTGCAAAGTGCTTGGCGAGCCTGAAATAAAAGATGTTACTGAAATACAAAATGAAATGTTTTATTAGCAGCCAACACTCCTATTTCAACTACTGATAGATGGTCACTAACAACTTGTCTTTTTATCTCACAAATGTAAAACTCGTAAATTGTGAAAACACAGTTCTTCAAAATGCTGGCATGGCAATCTTTTCACCTGTATTTCTGCTTTGTAAATTGCTTTCCTCCTTCCCCACAGATACACATTAGCTGCTCAGGATCTGGTGATGCGAGCCAGGGGAGTGCTGAAGGACAGAGGCTGGAGAATATCCAACGACAGACTGGGTTCAGGAGATGACATTTCCGTCTTTGTCATTCCTTTAATACATGGAAACAAACAGTCATTGAACAAACAGTAGCTCCAACAAGTGACAGGAAGGTGGTGGTCTTTTTAGGAAAATCATTTGAGAAGACGTGACAGTCAAAATGAGGACAGTTTTGATTGACAGTAATGTATTCTAAACTAATGCTGGAGGGGTATTTTTCTGCCCAATAGGTAGGGTTCTGCACATATACTATATATAATTAACGGTATCCCTTAAGATTACAGCTTCCCTATGGTTTTTGGTGCTTACTGGGAGTGGAATATAAATGCTGCTAGTTTGTTACAGATTTTGTTGTCACTCTGAGTGAGGACCCTGTCCTGCCCTGAATCAGGAATTAATCTTTTTCTGTTTACCATGTAGCTTGAAAAAGCCATTTTTCAGTAGTAAAAATAGAAATGGGTTGAAAGCTGGTGAGCTGTTCAACAACCCCACAAGCAATTAAAGCAGTGACTCTGGGACATGTTTCTTCAAAAAAAACAACAAAAAAAAATTTAATCTGGCCCTTGAAGTTGTTTGTTTTGAAGAGCTACTGTCATTTTGTGGTTCATGGAGAACCTCAAACACGCAAATAACTTGAATTTTAATTTTTCCCATTTGTACCCCTTTCAAATCAGTCTTGAGACTTCACTGTTCCTTATTTTCATGTGTTTTAGTGGGAAAAACAAGATAGTTCTTGTGACTCGGTCTCTCCTACTCTACTTAAGGTGGTCATCTGCAAAATTACTGTGACAAGCAGGTAGCAGGAGTTTTGTCAAGGCTTCCTTTTATGTGTAATCACAGTGTAACAAATCAAATAATCCTTACTTTATGTAGTGTTTCTCTGGAAGCCAGGGTTTCTTTGGGACCAGGGATTTTCATTCATTGAATGGCTCTGTCTGCTTTATTGTGCATCCTGTTGAAAGGATCACTGAACATATAGCTTTTGTATCAATTGATATTCAGTAAATGTCTCTCCTGAGTTTATTCTTACTCAGATTTCTAATTAAACTAGGTAGTGGTAGAGTTCTAGTAATCAGTCTAGAAGCATGGATAAAAATTTCAACAATCCTTTCATTTCTGTACATTTGTCTGCCTCATTATTCTTCATAAAAGTCCTTTACCTGTCCTCAAATGTCAGGATCCTGTGATCAGAACTTGACAACTCTCATATGTATCTTTTAATACTGAGTACTGTAGTGCAGGAGGCAGTATAATCATTATACTGGTTTCAAGACCTTGGCTTGTTGATCTTGTTTTACTCACTCAGAATAAACAAAAATGTATTGTGGGATATTATCCAAGTAGAAGCATCAGTCCCAATAGGTAGGCATTCTAGCTCCAGTCCAGTAGGAAAGCAATAGGAAGACAAATAGTGTTTCCAACCGTTGTTAGTTCTGTACACATTCAGCTCCTCGCTCAGTGGCAGGAATTTTGATTTTTTTTCTACAGAAGCTTCTAGTGCACAGATGGGTAGTCATGTATAGGAAGCCAAGCTCTGCAGGAGTTGCCCCCTAAACATGTTGGAGCTGCTCATCCTGATTTGTAAATAAAACAACTTCTTGGATAGCAAAAAGAAAGCTGAGTTGAGTTGACATAAACTTAGAGTGCTAAGTCAACATCTCACAAATGTTAAGCTCTTCCCAAAGGAAAAAGTGCAAGCTTTAACAAGAGGATGCTGTGTTCTTCCCTGAGGTGGTATTTGGATTTTATTCTGAATAATATTGGCCTGGAGCCTGCTAATCCAATTATTGCCTACATAAACAAAGTATAGTGTTTTCAGTAAAGTTTATCAAGTGTTTAGGCCAGTGGTTGACATGCCATCCTGACGATGGGCTCTGCAGTCTACTATGGTAGGCTTCAAAGCCTATTTCTATAGATCTGTACAGTATAAGTAGGTAGGACTAAACTGAAACAGGCCAGTGTTGAGTGGACAGTGGCTCAAACGTACAGCAAGCATTTGATCAGAGCCTAAAGTACGTCCCATAGATTGCACAGTGCTTGCATGTAATAAATCCAGAGCTGATGCATAAATGGATAGAATAGCTGATTATATGTCACACTTAATCTTGTTTTGCTGTTACCCCTTTTTTGTGCAATGCAAAACTGATGAAAAGATATCTGCAGATTTGAACTGTAGCTGAAGTCTAGAACATTCTCCACATAAGCTTTCAAATGTTTTACATTTTGAGCAACAGCTTCAATCTCTTGCTTTCATTCTCCCCCTTCTTGGCCTAATACATGTATAAACTATCATTCATACACTCTAATTGGAATTTATTCATTCATTTCCAATGTAAATATGTCATTGTGTATCATTTCAAATTGTAGAGGTAGAACTTGTGATGTTACTATGATTGTGTTAAACTACAGTGGAAAATGCACCTTCCCATTTAACAGACTTCTGAAGTAGTCTTAGCGGTGTTTGGCAGCAGCGGCAGATCATGTAAATGGAAAAGTAGCAAAATGACACTGTGCTCATTGCCATTTTCCTAGCATTGATATTACTTTATGAATTAGACTCCGCTTGTTTGCTTTTCATTCATACTACCATCACAAATCACCTCATCCCTTTCCAGCTGCTTTGTAGAGAATGCATTGGCTAGGAGGGTGTTTCCTTAATAGGCCAAAGGAACGGTGCTCCGAATGCTGAAACTGGAGCTTATATAACTGAGTACAGTTAACCCCTTGTTGTAATAAACTGTGAGGATATTCTAGCGTAATAAAGAGCTAGACATGTTACTGTGATAAATCTGAGGGTTTTATTTTCCTGTTATTTCAAAGCCTCTATACATGGGGAAATGCTTTCCCTACTGGTATCATTACATCTCTATACTACCTCTCTCATGCTGCTATAGTACCTTGGCTTTCACTTGCATCTGTTTTTGTTTTAAAGACTTTCTTACCACATGTATGCAACACTCCAAAGATACTCCAGTGTTTCTTGTACTGCCACTAATACTGCTTCCTTTTGTAGGGTTCATTAAGTATCACAACAGCAAACATTTGTGCTGGCAAGCAGGAAACTTTGGGACCTGTGTTTCCATAAAAAACATTTCCCAGCAAAATATCAGGACTTATGTATTACAAGGTTCTGTATCACAATGCTTAATTTAGGTACCCTGGTGCCTAGTGAAGTTCCCAATCCTGTTTAAAAATAAAGGGCTCAAGCTACCAAAAGGAATCAAGCACCTAGGTCTAACTATTGCTATAAGTGTCTTAGACCAGAAAGTATATATTTTAAACTATCCAGCTCAGCTGAAGGCACTTAACATCTCTAAGTACCTAATTCGTGGTCATTAAAGTTCTCTAGGTGCCTAAATTTCTGCTTCTGAGTAGAGTAGGATGCCCTTCCTCCACATTGCTGACCTTCAGGGCCTGATTGAGGTGTTTGCAGAGCACTTGTAACAATCTGTTTCACACACAAGGCTGGCAGAGGTGCTGCTACTGTCTTCTAGCCTAAAGGTTAGGGCATTCACCCAGCACATGGAAGACCTGGGTTCAGTTCTCTCTTCCGCTGCTATGGGAGCTTAAACCCATATCACCTGCCTCCATAATGAATGTTTTAACTGGCAGGCTATAGGGTATTCTGAGGCTTTCTCAGGTCTTCCTGTAAAGCTGTTTAACCTGCTGTGATAATTAAATATTCATTAGGCCACCGAGTAAACAGGAGTATGAACATGACTCTAAAGTACTAATATGAGGTTGTGGGAGAAAGGGACCTACTTTCCAGTTTGTTCCAGCAAATGTTTAAATTGTTAGCATAGGGGCAGAGTATAGGTGAGTGCCCTAACCATGCTCTTGCCTTGGCCAGCAAATCTTGGCATGGAATTGCTTCAGCGAAAAGAGCATCCTATCCCAAAATGCAACACAGCTTGGTGATTCATGTGTTGTAGCCAACTCGGTTATTGGATGAAATGTGGGGAATGGTAGTGTCTTCTCTGACTGGATACTGTGCAGAGTTAGATGAAGCAGGCTGCACAGCTAAGGTAAAGAAAGACTGTCTATTCCGTGAATCCTGACTGGGCTTAGGTAGGAGTGAGCACTTGAGTACCTAAGGTTCCAGACTGCACTGTGCTGCTCAGCATCCAAGTCCCAGGGAATTGAGTTGCTTATGGGGATGGACAAGGGTTCTCTTAAGTATCACTGAGGCCTAAATGCTGAGCTTAGGCACATAAAGCAAGGTTCATTATAACAGTAAACTCCAGTCACTACTGTTAGATCAGCCCAGATGCATGCATTCATGTTGGTAAGATAATCAGTATCTTTAATGCATAAATTGACTGTAAAGAAAATAGCAACTAAGTTAATTGATCATGCCAGACAATAATGTTGTTTTACTATGCCCTAGCTAAGGATAGATCAGCAGTGCTTACAAAATCAGTCACTTCATCAAACCATACAATAATATAAATTATACATGGAAAATACGTAATAGGCCATCTAGACTAGTGTTTCTGGCAATGTTGGGTTGCTTCTTAGAGCAATATTTTCTCCAAAATCGATTTCATAAACTAATATAGCTGTTTTTGAAACATTTTCTCTTGCTATACAGCCTAAAATGTCCTTGTCTTACCTGAAAGAAAAGCTCAGACATTTTATTGCAAGCATGTTTGAAATTTGCAAACATCTTGTTGCAGTAACCAATTCAATGACACTTCCTTAGTGACAATATTATCCTGTTGTCTGAGAGTGCTAGTTTTCAGTAGTCGCACACTGGAGGAGAGAAGTTGCTGAATAAAACAAATTAGAAGACAACCAAACTACCTACCTGAAGCAAAAGTGATTTTTAGGCTGCTGGATTAGCATGAAATTATTTACATGTTAAAATATAACCAGAGGTAAATATACTGCACTGTAGAAACTGTGCCTGTCTCCATGATGTTTTGAAGTACAAACACTTAATATCGGGACAGATCTTGGCTTTGAACTCTGTTTCTTGTATATTTGCTAGGTTTTAAAGGACACTACGCAATCCAACCAAATCTATTGCGTTTGTTCTTTCCTTTTGGCTTTTTTTGTACCAGTAACATCATGGTTTTTGTATCTAACATAAACCCCAGACCATGGGGTATTGCTGTTTGTTTCTACATTATAAGTGTGTAAATAGCATTTCTCCCTCTGTCTTAGATGAAAGTATAGTAATGTTGCTTCTTTGTAGACAATGACCAAACAATGCCGTAACTGTGCTGCTGTTTTCTACTTGTGATGTACTTGAAGGAGGTGCCCTTGTCAACCTCCATTTCCTTTTTTTTTTCTTTTGTTTTTCCATAGGTACTTTATTTTATTACATTTTTAAAAATAAATTTGGTAGCTGCTGCTTTCTTCTTTCCCTTGTTGGCCGAATAATCATACTTTGAAGAAGAATGTACAGTTGGCGAGGCTATGTTCTGAAGAAAGCAAGCTCCATTGAAAGATGATGATTTGGACCAATGTACTTAAGCTTTGTGACTGTGAAATGTTAAACTTTTTGTAACCTGAGAACAAGAAAATGTTTAGTAAAGGGATATATTTTGTGTTTTTTGAAACTTTTAAGTGCAATGAAAAAAGGAGGATGCTGAAGAAATGTATGTGCAAAGTTTTAAAATAAAATTTTAAATTATATAATCCCCCCTTATTCTGCCTGGCTTTCCCTTTTCTGGGAGACTACTTCAGTGATTCATTCTGAATTGATTGGTTAGTAATGGAGATTTTTAACATGTTGTGTCTTTCAAGAAAATGGGAAGATTCATTGCCATATAATCTTATGTCTTGATTGAATTTAGTGAGTTGTTCTGAGGTGCTGAAAGGCCATAGCCTGCCGTGAGACAATCTAGAAGTGTTCCTCAATGAGACCTGAGCTGTTCTATGCAACTTATATAGTAATACCTGCCTCTTTGTAATAGACCATTGCCAAGGATAGTATCCATCCAGAAGCCCACATAGACCATTACTACTTACCCTTGAAAAGCTGAAATGAATGTGTTAGGCTCAAAAATTTCCTAGATTATAAACCACACACTACTGAGACACAAGAATCCCAGATATCAGATTCAATTAATGTGTGTTTCTTTCATTACCCTATTCATTTTCCAGGTCAATGTTTGTGCTGTCCTGAAATGTAACCCAGGTTTCTAGTATCTGCACAAAGTCAAGTTGCCCAGAGTTTAATTACATTCAATGTTTTACTCTCTAAAGTACCTTACACAATCCATTTTCAGCAATTTCCAAAGGCACAAATGGGAGTTAGGCACTTCCTAAGCATTTTCATTTCCTTATTCTACTCCATGCTTCCACATTAATGAGATGTTTTAAAATTAAAAATTAAATTGCAATACCATGATATTCACTTCTAGTACTATGCCATGAACAGCTCTGTGATTTTTTTTTTTTTATCACGTTTACCCTGGCACTTCCTCACCCTGTCTCCCATTGTTTATTACTGTACTCCCAAAATATACTTAACGTTATAGGACAAATTTATTGAGGCGGGGGCTTCAGCTATTCTCTGTTTGGTAACATGCCTAGCACATTTTTGGACACTTTTAAAAGTGTCTGTAGTATACAAGGACCAAAAAATAAGGGCCGCTAAATCATTTTTTGTCTCCTATATTAGGTGCTATTCTAAGTACAATGTACTTAAATGAGCCTAAGTTGCCATTTTTACCAATTCCAGAGCTACTGTAGTACCATCCAATGATAGATTTATAAACTAAAACTATTGAGTCCTGATCTTCTGGGTAGAAAAAGAAAGATCTATTCATAACAATGTATTTAACCTTTACACTGGTGTTAAAAAAGATGGAGATAGATGGTGTAAACTGTAAGTAACTTCACCCAATCCAGTGTAGAATTATACTTGAACAAGAGTGGTAGGTACAACTGTACTGGTAGGCATTGTCTGTCTGCTTAGAGAGAGGCCAAAAATTCTCTGAGGAACCTTTACTTCTTTGAATCAGGGGTGTCAAAGATACAGCCCAAGGTCTGGATCTGGCCCACTGTGGGTCTTAACTGGATCCACACACGATGTGCATTACGCTCCAGACTGGCCTCATGTGCCACATGCACCACATGCCAGCCCTGGTCCCGCATGCTGCATGCAGACAGCAGGACCATCTGCACGCAGTGTGTGGAGCTGGTGCTGGTGCGTGGAGCCGATTGAGGTGGCATGCTGCATTCAGTGCACAGAGCTGGCGAGGGTGCACACTGGATGTAGTGCCAATGCTGGACTGGCCTTGCATGCTAAATCTGGCGCACAAACCTGGTCTGTGAGCCCAATTTGGCCCTAAGACCTGCCCCATGCCTCCATCTGGTCTGTGGGGCCTGATGAGTTTGATGCCCCTAGTATAAATCAAAAACTAATGAGAAATTTCAAGATGCATCATAGTTCATATAGAACATCTATTGCTTATTTTCTAACCCTTTTCCCTGGTCATTAAGAGACTAAAAACAATGAAAGGTTTGGAGAGTTTTACCATTTTTGCCCTAGGAATGTAAGATCTAGGCACAGGACATCTTTCAAGAAGCCAGTTTCCTTTGGATGCATTTCTCTGAGGGTGTTGGACAAGATCTGATCAAATAGGGCAGTTCCCCCATTCCTAAAGAAAAGCTTGGAAACTGGGGTATATACTTCTCTATAAAAGACCATTAGTCCATTACAGCATAAATATTCAAAAGCAACTGACAAGCCTCAAGGAACTAGTTACTTTTGAAAATTTAGACAAAGTCTCCATAGTTTGACTATCTTATATTTCACAATTAATATCAAGGACACATTGCAAACCAGATTCACTTAAGAACAACAGTATCTGTGGTGGAACATGGCAGCTATACAAAATAACAATACAGGACCCTCTAGGACAGGATGTGAAAGAAAATAGTATAGCCAATTGAAACCCAGGGGAAATAAAAGAAGGCAAACCAATTGCTCAAATTAGAACTTGGCAAGGACTGTACAGAGAATGGAATTTTGAATGGCCTCAAGTGGTCAGGACCTTGATTTTATGTCTCAAATATCAATATCCATACTGATGTATTAGTTCAGTACCACTCCAGAGGGGAAGTGTAGCCTTTTAAATTGCCAATATCTTTTTATGCAGCCCTCAGGTTTTCCCTAGGTTTTTCTCAGACAAATATTGACCATATCTTATGTAGTAGAGCTTATTAAATCTGATAAAAATCTCTGCCCAAGGAGCTATGGGTGCAAGTTAATAGTGCAAACTAATGCTGCATTTTACAAGGATCAATTTCCATTTCAATCTGTTCACATTTAAAAATGAATTTGCTTGCACCTTTCATATTTGCTTTCCACCAACTTTCAAGCAATTAAATTATATACCAAGTAATTAAGAATATGTACAAGGGATGGGATATTGGTAGCTTAAAATAGTATGTGGACAGAATCCTTACAACTCCTTAATTGAGCACTGGCCCAGAACTATGAGCCAAACAAAAATCTACTCATACCCTTTCTAGTCAGATTTTGCATCCAAACACAACTGCTGTGTAGGCATGTCTACATGTCTAATTCATGTGCCTGAATTTTCTGCGCAGAAAACCCAGGGTCAGAAGTGCTCCCTGGTACATGTCTACATGTATGCCTGTCAGAAATAAACTGAACCCGATGGGAGCAGCTCAGTCCAGGGCTGCTCCTGCCCTGCTCTGCACCCTGCAGCAGCCAGTTGCAGCTCTAGGCTCCCCCGGGTGCCAGCTCTAGGCTTGCAGGTGGCATGGGGGCTTATCCCAGAGCTCTGGAGGGTGCTGGGGTGGAGCTGTCCCAGTTCTTCAGGCTGCTGTGTCTCAACCAGGGGGAGATCGGGCTAGTTCTGAGTGGGGCAGGGGCCCAGAATGGGGCAGCAGTAGTTGTGGTGGTGTGGGGTTATGCCCCTCAGTGTAGCCACGTGCGCAGGGGACACGTTGACAGGGCAGCATGGAACTCACAGCAGCAAGCAGTTTTTCTGTGCAGCCCCCGCTGTACCTTGCAGTGCCAGGTTGCACCCGCCAGCTGTGAAGGGCAGCAGGGCAGGTGCCTGAGTCCGCAGCAGGCAGCCTGCACCTGACCCCACCCCACGTACAAATCTGGGGGTGGGGCATGGGTCCCCTCCTACCCCCCAGAGTGCATGCAGTGTCAGGGAGATAGTCCCCATCCCACCCGGACCTGCAGCAGGCAGGCAAGGGGGAATCTGTGCTTTGCTCCACTGCAGCAGCCGCCCCCTTCTGGCACTGTGGACCTGGGTCCCTGGCCCGGCAGCTGGGGCCTGAGTGAAGGCTGGGCTAGGATGGGATGGGGGTAAAGGGTGCAATCAGGGTCAGGGGGCTGTGGAGAGGGGAGTGAAGAGCACCAGCAGGGCCAGGGGGTGGTTACAGGGGCCCTTTCATTAAATAATAGATTCGGGGGGGTTTATCAGAGAATTTCCAATTTTTTATCAGAGAAAACCAGGATCCCTGCTGATTACCAACACCTTGAAAAGAAAAAGGTGAGGTGAGTCTTCTAGACTCTATGCTAAAGAGTTTCTAGACTATTTGCCTTCACACAATTTCTATGTGGCACAAAGAAAGCCAGTGACTGCAAACACATAATTGCTGAAGACCCTTGAAAATCCCCGTCCCTTTCAGAGATAAATCAAAAGTGGGCTTACCAAAAAGGTGGCATTTGTCTCTAGGAAAAACAAAGATGAGGGAAGGACTTAGCCAAACTTCATTTGCAGTGACTGCAGTGTTGGGATTCTATCAGTACCTGATGGATTCGTTTCTCAGACTGCCCCATGCTGCTATTCCTTTTGTTATTTATGAGTATTTCTGTAATCTGTTATCCCACAGAGTTTATAACAAATATTACGTACAACTTTTCAAGATTCTATTTGAGTGAAAAACTTGAGTGTCTTTCCTGAGGCAGGTCTGTATGCTATGCTCTGCAGAGAGGCTGTGCTTCCTTTTGTGTTGGAAGATTGCATTGGTGTAGATCACTGAGGCATCACAACAGACCCTGAGTGGCTGCCAGTGCGTTAAGGAAACCAAAAGCAACAAAGAGAAGCAAAATGTAAAATGAATTCTAGGCTGAATGTCTCTTATTAGCTATATTTAAAGAATTCAACACATCAGTTAACAATTAGCTCATCTTAGAAAGGAGGAGAAACCCTGCTTTCAAGTTGCTTTAGAAGTGTCAGCTCAGACGCATCAAAATACTCTGAGAATGCCTATTGGGGCAAGTCCCACAGAAAAAAAATAGCTAAAGAAGTCCTAGTTTGTGAGTCCTGCAGGGGTTTATGCATAAGATGAGATATACCAATGGTACTACCTTTTTAGATTCAAGTCACAACTTGGAAAATGTCAGCTCTTTGCTATCATTCGCTTGACTATAGAAAAAATAATGGAGCAAATCCGTTGCAAAGAAATCAGAAGGACCACAACAGGTCACAATGTTTCTTACACTAAGGATTCATATTTGAAGTGTCTGGGCACTTTTTAAAGGATCTCTCAGCACCCCAAGTTGCAGCAACAACCTGGTTGAGATTCACTGATATATACCTAGCTGTTCAGTCCAATCAAGACATCTATGCATGCCTATGTGGAATCAGAAAAAATATGCGCCTTAAACTTTGACTATTTTAGTTATAAGATGACATAACC